TCTATCCTGCATTTGGAGATGTGCCTGCAGCACGTGGAGACATATGCAAGCTAGTTTTAATGTAGCTAGAGTGAGCCCACAGCAAGGAAACCAAGGCAGCATGGGTTGTACATAGAGTTGCCAGATGGTTTCACAAAAACCACCGAACCACCCCCTCCCCCTCCAAAAAAAAAAAAAAAAAAAGCCAGGAAAACAATACCAGACCAGCAGCATTGCCAACACTTCAGCCGAAATGCTGCTGCGGCCCCTTTAATTCCCAGACCACTCCCCTCTTCCTCCACTCCAACCAGCATCAGCTGCAGCACATGTCCTAAGCAGTCTTCCGTCTCGGGGGGAAAAAAAACAAAATACCGGACATTGTCTGAATTTTTTTTAAATGGACACAAGGCGCAAATACTGGGCTGTCTGGTTCAATACCAGACCCCTGACAATCCTAGTTGTACAAGCCCATGCAGGACCATAGGTACTTATATGGCAGCTAGCTCATACTAAGGCCTATGCTGCCAGTGCTTCATGGCTATTGGTACTCATGCTAACTCAGCTATGTCTACATGAGCTACACTCACGCCTTTGACTGCCGAGTGCATGTACCCTATGTTTAAAATCAGTTACAAAGCTGTCTGTAAGTGTGTTTGTGGACAGAATTAAGCTGTAGTTATGAAAACTACTATTAAAAAGTTTCCTATGAGTATTTTAGACAATCTGAATAAGAATTACATTGCTCGGCTGGTTAAGTCTAACAAAATAAAAATGTGTATGCCTACTGCTAATCTGTCTAGTAAACTAGTTACAATATGCAGCTTGTAAGAGTGCAGGTGGTAAGAGCACTAACAATTTTCTGTTAATTTTTTCTTGTGTCTTCTGAATGTTTATATGGGGACACTACAATGCCTTGTCTTGTTCAGATCTACAGTTATTGTGGTAATCAGCTACTAACTCTGAAAGTGTTAGCTACAATGGTCAAAGTGAATCTGACCTATTGAAAAGAAAAACAAAGCTATAAACAACCAACATTAAAGCACACTTTCCAGTACCTCTTTATGCACTTGTGCAATGGTGCAGTGTCTGCACTGTAAAAAAACTGCAGGAATGTGCAAACACTGAGAGGGTAATTTGATTTAGAAAACCCTGCTTTGATTGAAAGACAGACAGTTTAGCAAATTAAAAATTCCATCAGCACATTTCTGCTTAGCTTCTAATTTGGAAAGTAAATTTGAAACTAAACTCAAATTGACAGATTCCTGTCAGTATTTCACAAGTGAGCCCTGAAACGTGTTAATAAATGAAAGCCAAATTTGATTTCCTTGTAACCTGAGTCTTAAATTTTGATTTTTTCCAGCTGCCTTTGATTGCGAAGGAAAGAAATGTCCTACTGGTACCACTAAGCCAACTTTTGTTTCTACAGGTAGAACGTCTTTAGCCCAGCATCCTTGGGACCTTACCAGTTCGGACAGAGAATTTACCGAACCACATGAGGTCAATATTGTCTAGCAGCATTGCCAACACTTCCACTGCTTAAAAGACATTAAGGGGTAAATTAAAGCTAAACAACAGCACAGAACACCAAGAGCCAGGACTGGTGGCTGTAAACAAACTTTATGGGACCGCAGGAAAATTGGCCACATACATTTTGACATAAGTGCACATCTGACTAACTAATATAATGCCGGATCACAGATGGTGCTGGACAAGAGAGGTGCAACCTGTACTGTCATTACATACATTCACTTTTTTTCCCCCCATAAGAATAACGTTTCACTTGCACATTGGGATCTACAAGACAGGCACACCACCGCCTAGAGTTCCTTCACATGGAAAAGAGTGCCACTATTGTGTCATCCCTGATAAGGCTACAGTGTGTATGCCCTCTACTGGCTGGCCAAATCTAGCCATCTGCTAGACAGATATACTGTCACCTTCTTCTCACCCGTTCCAAAAGGGCTAGTCACTCTACTCTGGTACAGTCCTCATGGTCTAGTAAATTCAAGAAATGATATTGTTGTTGGCTTCTACATGAGGGTGAAAGGGGTTGGTAGAAAATCCCTACAATCTCACGGTGGACATAATGTATTTCCTAATTTTACTAGAGTGTATAATAAAATATTTCTTAAAATAATAGGAAATTCCAAGGCAAAAAACTTTATCTGAATTTAAGGTACTTTTATAAACCCTGCTAAGTTTGATTACTGTTAATCAAACCTAAGCATTAAAAAGGTATGAAAAACTGAATTCAGGTAATGTATATAAAGACTTTCAAGTTCATAGTATATAAAGACTTTCAAGTTCATATATTCTCTTCAAATGTACATGTATGAAGATTCACGTTAAGCAATCTATTACATCCTTAACATTATCCCCCCAAAAATCCCATATAATCTCACACTTAGGATAGCACAGATATAAGTGAGAGTAGAATCTGTACCTTAATATTTGCAATCAGGAAAAAGGGAAAAAAAAGCCTTCACACAATAGCACATCTGCTAGCAATTCCGCTAGGTGGAATTATACTTAATATTTCTACAGTACTGCATTAAATTGTTACATTCAGTTATGCTACATACATAAGCGTGTTTCCAAAAGAAAATCTATTTTCATTTCACATTTTGACTTATAAGTGACTGAGAAGAATGATATCCCTTCTTTTAATTATTTCAGTAAACATAATAATGGCACTGTTAACTACACCACAGAGTACTTTATTTCCTCTTTTTTTTTTTAGTAATATGAGTCTACTTGTAATTAAAGGCATGCTGCATTAATGATGCTGAAAGTCTCAGAGGGAAACATTTAATGTCCACCTCATAATATTATGCCAGAATTACATGCACAGAAGACTTTTTAATAATCTTTGTTTCTTAATTTAGTTTTGATTGGCTATGAAATCCAGAGGAGTACTCTAGGGCTCAAATTTCTACTTTCATCAGCACTTCTGCTCCATAAATTGTACAAATGCAGATGACTTCTTCCATCTGCAAGCTTCTTTTCAAAGCTTCTATTTAACCTATCCTGAAAATTAGCTTCAGGCTGCAGATAATTGCAGATAATTTTACCATTTTTAGGCCACCGGGGTGTTGAATTGGGCTGTGACAGCCATATCTGTCTAAACACAAAGATCAAATCATATTTTTATATTGTCATTTCAGCTTTATACACAAGTTCACAACAATCTCAGTTGTCTTAGAGGGGTAGCAGTGTTAGCCTGTAACAGAAAAAAACCCAACAAATGGTCCTGCAGCACCTCAGAGACTAACAAAAAATGTAGATAGAATCATGAAATTTTGTGGGCACAACCCACTTCTTCAGATGACAGTTGTATATGTGAACTAGAGCAGCAGCCACTAGGGGTTTTTCTAGCTCAAGTCTGAGACGGGCTTCATTATGAACCAGGATTTAGTAATGGAATTAAAAAATATATTAAAAGGGTTAGATTCTATCCAATCAGTCAGCTTTCCAGAAGGTCTGACATGTGACCGTATTACTCAAGCGGAGAGCCTGACTAGGAAGACAGAAGGAAATATTAAACATAACTTGCCAGTGTATTACAATATTAATGGTGTTTGTTTGAAGCAGTGTCAGTAGGGATGGATTAGTGGGCAGAGAGCAAGTGGTTCAATCAAACGGCACAAAACCAATGTAATTTCTTCTTATATGATATCAGCATAATGTATGTGGTGAGAGTGGGCATGTATACAACATCCTAAATATGCATATGTGGTTGGACCTGAACACCTTCAACACTACTGGGGGTTGAAACTGATGCCATAAGCCATTCAAAAGTTAATTTCCTCAGAATAGAGCTGTTTGTCACAGAGTTATAATGATCTCTATACAGATAATATACAGGCAAAGAAGATATTTACTAGGTTATATCAATTTACAGCAAGCCTATTTATGGGAATTCATTAATTTCCCAGAGCTAAATTATTGGCTAAAATTATACACATTTATATTGCTTTACTGATACCATCTAATAAAATGAACCATGTATATGATTTATACTTCAAAGCTACATGTTCCTATCAAGAAAAAATAGTTTCCAACAGAAATTAACATTCTACTGAAAGAAAATTAATTTTCTAATGATGTATGGAAAAAAGTCCTCCACAAGCTGAAAATTTCCTCTAACATTAAAATTCTCCTAGGACATGATCTGGCAAGTATCTATGCATACAGATTTACTCAGGTGTAATATTTTGGCACATACATAGCACCTACTACATCATAGCTGGCAAACAATTTACCAAGTGCAATGTTTTTATAGGCCTCAGATGCAAAAAAGCCTGACTTAAGACCACTGGGTATGATTTTTATAAGTGCTGGTCACCGACAAATCTAATTAAAGTCACAGGCACATGCAGGTACTCCACACCTCTGAAAAAAAAAAAAAAAAATCAGACCCTAGCTAATGGTGTGTCTTTTAATGCTGTTTATAAACACAGCTGTGATCATTTATGACTCACAATAGCAAAGCATTAAGTAGCAATGCTTAGCACTGTGCACACTTCCCTGAAAATGCTGCCAATGCATTCCCCTCTTAAATCTGCAATATTCGAATAGGAGACTCTGCCCAATAAAAGCCTACACATTACACTACATTATAGTAGTTTGATAGTGTGAACGCATTGAAAACAAGTCACCAAACTCTTTTTCACAAATAATCCAGACAAATACATCCACATGAAAGGTTACTGCTTGAAGCCGTTTTCATTTAAGTCCATTGCACACACTGCTATTCATTTCAAGTGAAACAGCACTGGGGTCTAGCTAAGTGAACCCACTTACCCTATAGCCTAATGTGAAGATAGCTTATTTCTTATTACTGTACTTGGTTTCTTGGAAGCCTTTCATACTTACAAAGTTCATACTATTATGTAATTCTGCCTGAATCTTAAACTAATTGGGGATTTCCACTCTGCATCTGCCTTTTACAGAAATATACCCTGAAAATTATATAGCAAAAAAACAAAAACAAAAACAAAACATTGAAAAATTTGCCTTACCATTGCACAGAAGGACTCTGGGGGATCTCCACAAGTTATATCAGGGGGATCCAGGGTCACTTTCACATATTTGATCATGTCTTTGGCTTCTGGCTGACAAGCCATGTAATCCCAAACTTTGCCTTCTTCCGTGTAAATCTGAGTCTTACATACGTCATAATGTCCCCATACTGATGGATAGTGCTGCATCACTGAGGATACAGTAACCCAAAGGGCATGAAGTGACAGGAATCTTGACAAATACATCTCTAAATCCTTGGAAACTGCCTTGATAAGTATAACCAGTATTGATATAAGGACAGTCTATAGATTATAAATATATGTACACGTATATTTAGATATGTATCTTGTAAAACAGGTTCCACAACTGAATGTGAAGCATTAGAATATGGTACTTGCTTTACTAAGTTGAAGACTTTGGTGGAAGCATAACATATTCAAACAACAGCTTTTCACATAAATCTGAAGCTTGTCCTTTGTCTTATTATGTGTCTATCAGAGCGTTTTGTAAAAGATGTCCGAGAGCAGATAATTTAGCAAAGTTCCAGAACTTCACTTGTACCGTTGATAACCCCAGGTGATCCTCTGTGTTCACAGCTCACAAGGGATATCCAGACGTACTGAGAAATCAGTATCTGAAGCAAAAGGATGAGTGTCTACAGCCTGGTGTCTGTTTCCCATCAATCATTCTTTTCTTCTGGCACCAACACCCTTTTAGAAACAATAAGAATGAGAGTTATTGTCCAAGAATCAATGCATTATAAAATATGTGTTATGTTGACATTTTGGAGGGTTGATGCAATATAAAGCAAATTGGTGTAATATAGATAACCTTTACTGTGGGTGGTTTGCTAGAACGAACAAACTACCAAAATCATTCATAGTGAAAAGTATTTTGACATGAAGGATTTAACTCTTCTCTAACAAAGACAGATTTATAGCATTTCAGGTGAGCTACAGGTTTTTGCTTCAAAAATGACATTTCCATCTTGGCAAAACCTCAAAGGCAAACTATAGAACTTAAACATTTCTCATATTTTATAACCAATGAGGCGGGGGAAACATAAACCACTAAGGAGAACAGCAGAGTGGATCTTTTATTATACTGACAAAGAGATGACAACTACTTGTGTGCATTTTTACTCTGGGTATGAGGACCTCAAAGAGCTCAAAATGCCTTCTATGCTGCTGTTAGCTTAATAAGAGAGTTATTATGAACACATATGAGTTTGTTTGGATTTTTTCATTAATATTGGAAAAGCTTTGCTCCTTTTTTAAATTGCATTTAATGATGAAGTTAACAACTGGCTCATCTAGCTTATTATATCAACAATTTCCCTTTTAACATAAGTCCCATGATTTCTTAATTATTTTTACATTTCTAGTCTACCACTTGTTTATTTCTGTAACAGACACACAACAATATACAGAACTCTTTTGAGGGTAAAACGTAAAATACTAGGACAAATTAAGAAGTCATTTTGCAGTCAATCCTATTCTAACTGAAATTTTAGATTTTAGCAACTGACTTCTATGGTGAAAAGAAGGGTGAATTCAACTACACTCTTTTGTTGACTCTTACAATCTAAACTACCTCTTAAATTTTATATTTACAGACAACTATAAATCATAATACTGCACAGCTCAATTCATTCCTCTGTAGTTAGTATGATGAATCTTTCCATGCTATAAAAATATAATGGAGTTATTTTTTCCATATAGGTTTTGTTTTATTAAACACATTTTCAAGAAAGGGCAAAACTTGTCTTTAAAGCAATTTCACAAACATGTTCAGTATATTTAAATAATGCACCATCTTAAACTGAAATAAGCCACACACACTTATGAAATGCCAACAGATGGCTGAAGTGTGTTTCCATAGCAAAGTAATTTACAATAATTGCCTTATGGACAATTGCAATTTTCTATTCTATTCATTTCTTAAAATGTTGTCCTACAGCTGGAAATTGGTATATATTCTAGAAAGTGTGTTGTATAGCTGAATTTTCATGTAGCTATAATTAGCAATTTGTCTAAACACTTCTAAATTTCAAATCTGAATTTGCTACAAAACACTGAAAATTCAGGCGCTTTCCCAAAATTAAATACATTTTGAATCAAATAATCAAGTTCCACGGCTCTTTAAAACATCTTCCATTCTTCCTCTTTTCATTGGAAACACTTAACTTGTTATTTTTGAATTAATTAATATAAACAACTTTTTAAGAACATTAAAATTACACTGTTTCTATCCACTTTTTCCAGTCTATTTAACTATTTAGGAGGGGAAAACAATAATTCAAATGCAAAGGTCAACATCTATAAAGTAAGGAAATGACCTGAAAAAAAATGTTCTTAATTTCTAAATAAAAACTCTCAAAGTGTCTTAAATGATCATGACAAATCAGTACATATTCAAGGATTGAAGAAGGATGAGAAAAACTAATTTAGTGCTTGGGCAAAGCTGGTATAACTAGTAAGGGAATGTTACGTTGCTGTATAGAAATAAGTTATTATGTTTGAACAACCTATAATTTAGTCTTTCATTTAATTAGAAATATAACTCTTTTCTTAATACTTTCTTTGCTAGTTTTTCTTTTCCTCAACAACCTGCCGTCACTTCCAGTCTACAAATAAGTGGGACTAGGTATAGATGAGAACAGATATATTAACCAGAACTGAAAATATAGCTATTGAAAATAAACCTGAAGCTAGCCGCTATCTCTACACCCACTGTGCTACACTCCTCACCATATAACCAATTCTCATTAAAAAAAAAAAAAAGCCAGCATCATAATGATAGTCATTACATAGAATTATAGACTATAACATTGATCAAATTTAGTGCACTGACAAAAAAAGTGCAGAGGAGGGCAAGATATTTGAGTATTGGGAAGATATAGGATTGAGTGACAGACATTCCTGACAAGAAGCAGCCAATTATAGCTTAAGTTTCTGGCACAAAACCAGTTGTGATTAATAGTCTTCCATTATATTACAAATATATTATTAATGTATTAAAAATGTGGCATGGTTCAGTTACTCTGCAGTATCTTCTTTTAATGAGCTCCCATTGACAGAGAAAGATATTGACCAAAGCACATTAAATATCATATGCTATGGGTCACTGAGGCTTTTATAACAGAGCTACATAATTTGTCTTTATTATATTTATGCCTGCAGTATCATTCATTATGTGCCTTCTAGTTCCCGATTGTCTATTTCCAGAGATAGCTTTTTTTTTAAAAAAAAATGCCTTGCAAAAAATTAATTAAAAATTAAATTTTCTAACTTGAAAACAATACCATTTGTAGCTCTAAGCTGTACAGCAAACTGTGGGTAATATAAAGATTTGTTTTAATGAATACACTTACATTTTGCCCTATGGAATAAAATGCACCAAACATTATAACTGACACATTTTTGTACCCAAATCCTCTGTACTCCTCTCATCAGCTACTGACCATGCATTCTGCTGTGTTAAACTGAAACAATCCATAAGGTCTGGCATACTGAGACTGACATCTTCACCGAATGAAGGAAAAGCAACTGCAAACTACTGGAAAAACTGATTATGCTAGCTGTATTTATTAAAACAATAGCACATGGTATATTAAAGCTAATCTTTCTTGGCAATAAGGAACTTAAACGTAGAACATTTAGGTCTTTGTATTTCCACATGTGCCTTAACTCCTGCAATCTGAAAAACAGCTGGCATTGCATGGGCAACTGTGAAGCAACAATACTTAAGTCCTTGTTGTCTCAACTTTCTTTCAAAATATTAATTTGTGTATAGAGTGGTGACCATATAATAAATGTATATATGCCTCTGTATCAGCAATACTACATGTAGGGCATCAGTAGATCAAGACTAAAATTCTCCGTAGAAGTAGTCTTGCACACATTAATCTGTTTTCAGTTGAGTCAGTCCAGCCTTACACAGCATTTTAATTATATAGACTGATCAATTTCCCCGCTCTGCACCCAATTCCAGCCAAAAAGTATATTCCAGTAGTAATTAATTATGGCAAAAGAAGCTGTCAATTCTTATTAGTATATGCTAGTAAACACAGCTTCTTGTAACTGTTTTGGCCACTGTGAATATTTTCCTCCTCCCACACACACTATGATATTTTTCTCATTATGAAAATTGTCACCTCACAGCTTAGCATTCACCCTGTTGCAGAAGTCTCTTGGTGAGAAGTTGCTGCACTTACATTATAGATTTGTTTCCAAATACTCTGTTAAGCAATGGATTTCATAAAATGGCAACTAGTGGTTCATTCAGAGTCAGACCATGAAATTGAGAAAAATGCACATTTTTGCAGCACATGAATTAGAAAAAAAGGTGAAAAATCAGAGTTATCTGATAACACATTCTAGTATCTTATGCATCTAAGCATTTCTTATACCAGCAAATAACTCAGACAATTGTTCTTCATAAAGTTAGGAACATATGAAATACTTAAAGTGAAATCTATTGTAGTTTTGCATCTACAGAGTACATTAATGTTTCCTATAAAATACAAGTAAAGGTGATTTTTGTCTGCTTTGGTTACAATTTCTAACTTATATTTCAAGATGAATAAAATATGGTGTATATACTACAAGATACAATTGATATATATTTTCACTTATCACTTATGTAACCGGACATACAGTGATTTGTGAAAACTGGTGGATTGTGTTTTAATATATGCAGTTATTCATATATACAAAATAAACATGTTCATGCGTTTAATTATATAATTTATTAACTTAGATAAGCTGTATCTATAGTATAAATACGGATTCAGAAATACCCTAAGATTTATTCAGAAGAACCTCAAATTCCATTTTTATCTAATTTCTCTTCTCTTTTTTAGCAAAAAGTAGTAATAATAGAATATGAAGTTCTACAAAAAAAACACTAAAGATTCTGAAATAGCCTACAAAAATTGCTTGGGTGCCCTAAAGCTTTCTTTGTCTCGTAACACAGCACGTGAACATTACCATTTACAGTGTATCAGCAACATTCAGCATGGAATGAAAATACTTCAGAAACTTTCATTTAAAAGGCTTAGTTTTTAACTGCATTAAATTCTTCCCGTGAAATCTTTGTAAATCTCTTATTGGTTACGTCAACTCTGTAGCAATAATTAAATTGTTTTGATCATCTTAAGTGCATAACACTTGCAAAACTGTTTACAGAAAAAGTAACACAGGCTCTTGTCGAAAAACTACTCATAGATAGTCTATTGCGTAATGATAGTAAAGTCTTCAGATTGTGGTATGTACTCAATATAACTTTCCAAAGCAGTTAAAATTATGTTAAGGATTTGCAAAAAAAAAAAAAAAAAAAAAAAAAAAAAAAAACCCAAAAAAAACAAGAACAAAACCACACACACCAAACCAACCAACCAGAGGATCCTGATTTTGAGTTGTGCTGTGGCCAAATTATGTATTTTTAACCAGAAAGTTAGAGCCAATCCTTATCAATGTCACAATGGTGGAGGGCTGATAAGGAAATCGAGAGATCAGGCTACTGCCATTAGCTGGTGAAAAATAACTGGCAAACATCCGTTAAAGCACCAACAGTCACCTTTGATTTTTTCCATGTAGATATATATTAAAAAAAAAAATGAAGTCTTACCTAGGCCACAGTTTTTAACCTTTGGGCTGCATTATGCTTGAGGCAAAACTGTAAATTGCTTTCTTTTAAAAAGCATCACTACCACTTATTTCATTCACATTCTCATTTCATATCTGAATCTTGGTGCACAAAATAGGTAAATGTATTCATTAAAGGCCAACCACTATAAACACAAACTTTAGGCAAGAATGCAGAGCCATTCATTGTATTGGCTTTACCTATTTAGCATGTAGTAAAATGTTTGGTTTTGATTAGTTATTTTTCACTTTTGAATGATTATGTGAACTGTTTGCAATTTCTTATATTAAGAAGGGAATTATTCCTGGTTGAAAATGAACTGCCAGCTCCACAGGGATTAGGGTTATTCTACACGCCATCAATTTCACCCTTATTTTTATTGGATTTCTGATATCTTTTTCTGCAGCAAAATCTTTATTCATGGACTGCAAACTGCTTGATGCGAATAACCCCCTTTTGGCAGAATCCTTCTGAATTCACTTCAAAAACAGTCTTTCATCCCCTCCTTTGCCAGTTTGTTAGCTCTTAGTTGATACTTTAAAAAAAAAAAACAATTAAAAAGTCTGAAGTAACAACCAATCATTTTCACAAGTCTGTGCAATCCTGACCAGAGTCAGTTTTTTACCTCCCCCTTTGAAGTTAATGCCCTCCATCTTTTTTGTACTGCACAGCTGATATCCATGTCGGGAAATTGACGACAGTGAACCGAAATGTAATTCGCTGTTTGAGGCAGGAAGGTAGCCCGTTTGGGGGGAAAAAAAAACCCAACAACAATCCACGGAGGAGTTTCGATGGCATGTATAAGAAACAGTTCAGCGACTTGTAGGAGCAGGAGCAGTGCTGTGCCGCCTAGAGGTGCGCATTCGGGACTCGCCAACAGAGCGATCGTCTATCGCCGGTTCTTTTCCCGAAAGCGCCTTTGAAATACGCGCTAGTCCTTTTCCTGCCTTTGCACAGCACAGGGGCATCGCTCCAGACACCAGCCACAGCCACTTGCTCCCCGGCGTGGCGCCCACAGCAACAGCAGAGGGCGCAGTTTCTATTTTTATCGAAATTCCGCCCCCGCCCTCCTGCTACACCTCGCCATTGGTTACGTGGGGGCCAATGGAGCGGCGGTAGCTCCACCTGCTCCGCGCCGCTGGGGAGACAGGCAACTGCATTGACACTCGCCGCGCAATTATCACTGTGCGCACCCCCCCCCCCCCGACCCCCCC